TATATATATATATATATATATATATATATCTCAGTTCTTTCCATACCATGAAAGCTTTCTATAAACTAAATGCGAGCCTAAAATGTACAGGAAATGCGATGTTTTGTTGCATCTTCGCATGTGCCTTTAAGGGGAGGGGCTTGGTTGGGTGAGTGAGTGGCGAGTGTGTGTGAATGTCTAAACGTGAGCCGTGGCCGACGGCAGCTTCTGCGTGAGCGTGCTGACATGCATCTGTGACTGTGGCTGTCCTTTCCAGCTTGTGATGGCATTACTGCAAGCAAAAGGACTGAAGAAAAGAAAAGAAAAGAAGGGAGGTAACAGTGTAAACATCGTGTAATTAGTACTGACCCTCATTTTCGAATGAACATTGTGGAGGTCACTCTTCCTGCCGCAAAACTTCAACTGGAGCTATTTAATCCCATCAGATCGTTCGCTGCTTTCATCCGCATCATCCTCTGTTTTATGATTCCTCTAATTGGAGCAAATAGTGACTTTTTTTTCCTTCTTTGTGCAACAGATGGTTGTGGAGTGCACAGCAGATGGTGCACAACATCAAGTAACCTCTGGCACAGACTAGATGCTGCCTGATTTTTAAATCCCCTCTTTTGTCCACTGCAGTTGACCAGAACACTTGACTTATCAATTTAAACTAAGACGTTCTATAAGGAAGTTCGATTCAAAGACTCAACTTAACCCCTGTATTAAGGCTGAATAATTTTGTGAAATAATCATGACACCCCCACCCCAAGTATAACGATGAACTACACAAACCACCACTTTGTACAGCAATCCATTATCTCCAGAAAATGAGCTTTGTTTTTTGTTTTTTGTTTTTTTTGTGGGCCCTGGATCTCCAGGCCAGTCCTTTGGTGGTAAGCGAAGCCCGTTTGGACTTGAGCATACCAGGAGGGGACTCTTAAGAAGTGCCATTGGATTAGTCGGGTCGCATCTGCCTTCAGTCGCACAGCAAACACCTTGAGAGGTGCACCTCATGCGCTCGCCTTCATGGTGCGACTTCATCCCTTCACGTTTTAAAGGATGAAGCATGTGAGGATCGCACATTTGCCACTGCTCTTTGCTTTTTTCCACGTCTGCTCGGGTAAGTGTGTGATCATCCTTTACAAGTGTGTGTACAGTAGGTTCAGGAGGGGAGGAAGGTGGAGAAATGTTGA